CAGGAGAGCGCGTTAAGCGCGCTACACCAACACAACAAAAATCAGTCCAGTGTACAGCAGTGCAACCTCCACATTCACCTACATAATCTCATATATATGTACAATATTTACAACATACAAACACACTTCCACAAGCTAAACACGACAAACTTGCGAAAAAACACAAATTGACATAACAAAACTAACGGGTGAAAGTGAATTAACAAGTTGAAAAGAGAAAATTTGAAAATTTAAAACAAGTCTAATTTCAACTTGTTAAAACACAAGTCAACTCATACATAAACGAATACAAACAAAACATGCTTCTTTTACGTCATAAGCTTGACACCTTTATTGTGCAAGCTAGTAACCTCCTCTCATCATGCCATGGTATTGTCACACCATGCAAACCTAAAGAATGCGTCCTAACATTCACACAACAAATGTTACGGAAACGAGACAATTCACAATAATACGTGAAAACAAAGAAAAACACATACATGCACAAGTATGGAAATTAAACACAAAACATGTACAAGTATAAATAGACAAGTTTATGTACACATTATATACAACATATATATTAATTACAAAATTCAAAAACAAAGAAGCTATCACAATGCAAAACAACAAACACCAATTCCCGACAACAGCGCCATTTTGCTGAAGCGGTAAAGCGACAAGCAAAAAGTAAATTATTAATTTACCGAGTGATATTTGTCATATCGTATCGTGTCCACATAGATTGATGTATTGAAATGTCGTTCGACATATTTCTCATTAATGAGTTTGAGGGTTGAATGGGTTGTATGGAAAAGGTATCGACAAAAAATAAATATAAACAAAAACTATAAAGGGTAAACAACTTATTCGGTATGAATGTACACTACTCGTCACAAACTTAAATCTATCGATCAGTTGCACTCAACCTACTGTACTCTTCAAAATCATCATGGACACCACGAGATGTATCCACAATGAAGGTTATGTCTAACGCCAAGTCGCGAGACCAACCGTATTACTCTATCGGTAATGTCTTGCGTGCTACAACAACAAGGAAGCATTAAGCTTTAACATCCTAAGTGAATATTAGCTCTAAATATATCTCTAGAATCTAGAAACTAATAGATATTCATCTCTAATCAACATTTGTGAGGTATATGTCTATAACAACTCAAATTCAAACATAAAGCAAAAAGATCAAAGAAGACATCAAGATTGATTTGTAAAGCAAGCTTTATACAACACCATGATCAATAAAAATACATATGTTCAAAGTAAATATACAAATAATACCCAACAATAGATAAATACAAAGAGGGGAGAAGAGATAAAACAAAAATCTTCCAGTTTGTCAGTGCCGATCGAAGAGAAATCCACCTCCAATCATCCATAAGCAAGGCCCTAATGTTGTTTTCTAAGCTAATTATCAAAAAATGAAGGCTTGATGAGTTGGAAACAAATACCTTAAAACATTACCTAAAAAATGTGCATTTTGGTCCTTTTAACGCAATTATGTCCAGGGGATCGCGCTAAGCGAAAAAATCTCGCTAAGCACACTCTACTATCATGAGAGAAAATTCAGCTTTTTGTTTTCGCCATAACTTGAGAACCGTAACTCCGATTTACGTCTGGTTCGAAGCGTTGGAAAGCTTATTCAATTATCTATCTAACAATGCCTAAATACCAACCAAATTGATGATATATTATTCTTTGATTTTGAGTCTTATTCGTTGATGAGTTGCTCAAAATAGCGCGTTTGAAGCCGTGTCTTCGACACTTTATCGCTCATGCTCCAAATAAGCATTAATACCTATAAAATGAATGGAAAACTATCAAATGATACACAAATACACAAAAATCGATTAAATACAATTTATACATAATTATAAAAAAAGCGTTGAATTATTCAACGATATTAACAATAAAAAGTCGATAAGTGCAACAAAAAGTATATACAAAAATAATTATAATTTTCACTTATTACCATCCCTATAGTTTAAGGCAAATATCCTTCTCTAGGCCTTCTAACCTCTAACATATCCATAACACATACAAGCATAAATCAACACAGAATCAATTATCTAAAATAATTCTAACAATTTATTTTGAGGCATTACACAAGGCAACTCTTTCTTAAAAATGGCCTCAATACCTCGTTCATGAGGGCTTGAAAGGTTGATGGAGCATTTGACAACCCAAAGGGAATTAGTAGGTACTCATAATGTCCTTTATGAGTCCTAAATGCATTCTTATAAATATCCTCCTCTTTCATTCTAATCTAGTGATACCCTGACTTTAAATCCAGCTTAGAAAAAATGATAGCACCCCTAACTCATCTAGCAGTTCTTCAATAACTGGTATGGGGAATTTGTTAGGTATGGTCACTTAATTTAATGATCTGTAATAAGTACAAAACCTCCAGCCTCTGTCCTTCTTCTTGACTAACAGAACTGGACTTGAGAAAGGGCTAGTATTATCCCCACCTGCAACATTTCCCCCACAATTCTCTCTATTTCATTCTTCTGATAAAAAGGGTATCTATAGGGCCTGAGGTTTGGGATAGCAGCATCGAGTTTTAACATGATATCATGATCATGTTACCTAATGGGTGGAAGTCCTGAAGGTAAATTGAATACTCCTTCAAATTTATCCAACATATTCCCCCATTTTCGTGACTCAATTGTGTCATCAGCTATGGTGAACTTAATAGATTGCACCAAAAATCCCATTCCTTCATTATGCAAAGCTTTCATCATAGACTTCATGGAAGCTTGTTTGGTGCACAAAATAGGGCCCCCATATATATTGTGCTTCTTTCCTTCATACCCCCATTTCAGACATTACTCCCCAAAATTTGCTTCAATATTACCTAAACCAGCCAACCAATCCATTCCCAACACCATATCGGTCCCCCTTAGCTCCATAAAAAAGAAGTGTTAGTTGAATTCCACCCCCTGCATCATGAATTCCAACCCTTCACAGATTTCATGATACTTGACTCTTTCTCCATTTCCCACTTCAATTACATAAGGAGGAGTTTCTACCAACTTCAACCCCATTTATTCTACCAATTTGGCATCAGTGAAGTTAGTTGTTGCTCCTGAGTCAATTAGGGTTACTAGCTTCTTCCTCTGCAGTCACCCAGACTTTAAATGATTTGTTAGAAGTAAATTCTTGTTTACTCAGCATAGGAATTTATAGAGTTTTGAATTCTTCCTCTACTTCCACCAGTTCTTCTGTTTGAATTCCTACCCCCCTGTTTCCTCTTCTTCATCACTGCTATTTTCACACAATTTCAAGCTCAGATGTTTGAACGTACAAATATGCTCCCTATTCCATTTGTCTCCACACTTAAAACACAATCCCTTCTTGCCCCCTTCTTCCAGCTCTACAGGATTTAATCTCCTGCCCTTGTATCTCTCACTCTCCCCACTACTAACTCTTTCCCCTTCCTTCTTAGATCCTCTAATTTCTGTAGGATCTTTGAACTTTCCGAGTCCTCCTCTATCTCTCCAAAAGCAACCCTTCTTCTGCAACACTTCATTTTTTCTTCAATTAGTAAGGCCCTGTCCATCAGTTATGCTAGGCTTTGACTCTCATGGAGTTTAAGTTCAACTTGAATTTCTTCCTTCAATCCATTCAGAAAAATAGAGTCCAACACGATCCTTTCCTCTCTTCTCAAAGGAGCTACTAACATTTCAACTTTCTCCATATACTCTACAACTGGCCCTCTCTGTTTCAGGCTTAACAAAGGTCCTAAAGGATTGTGCAATAACCCAGGTTGAAACCTCCTCATCACAATCACTTTAAACTTTTCCCAAGTCTTCAATGGCGTCTGCTCCTCCCACCACTGATACCAATTCAAAGCTTTGTCTTCCATGACGAGCACAACTGCATTTAGCTTGTCATGCATCCTCACCCCATTGAGGTGAAAATACCTCACAACACGGACAAGCCACCCATACGCGTCCTCTCCTCTGAAAATCAGAATTTCTAACCGTCGTCCCTTTCCCATGAAACGAGATTTGTTTCCACCACTATGACAGCGCTTCCTGGGTCTAGATTCTCGCGATATTGTGCTCCTTTCGCTTCCTTCATCTTTTTCATTGGGTCTTCCGTTATTTCTACTCGGACACTCTTGAATCAACTAGCGGATTTGCTCCATCGTGACTTGCGGTCTCGCTTGCTGCTCCATCACCCGCTGCCGAATTTGTTCCATCGTTCCTTCAAAATTGTTCATTCTTTGTTCTATAATATCAACTCAGTTTTCCATGATGCTTCTCGTCACGACCATCCACAGTGAAATGAAACCAAGACTCTAGATACTAAATTGATAGGATCAATTTAATATCTAAGTACATAAATAGGAAGTATAGTAGAATAAAAGTAGAAAGTAGTGATTTTTATTGAAAATTACTAGAGTTTATATGGGATCTAGTAGTACAAATAAAAACAGAAAGTTGCAAGGAAAATAGAAATGATAAAGAGGCTCTTAGAGATGCCTTATCTCTCCCATGAAAATATTTTCAACTAGATTTCTGTGTACCCTCCTCAGAATCAATCTTCAAGCATTTATTTCCTTACTGTTAGATTCTCTTACCACTCAGCTATTGCCGACTGTCCCACCCATGTGAAGTACTAACAAACTTTGTCTTATTCACTCTCTCTCCCCTTCTCATGTTTTCTCTTATAAAACTTACCATACCTACCACAAAACTCTAGTTTAGAACTCATACCTTGACTATAGTGGAATCTTCAATCAGTATTCACAACAAATAATTTACCAATGGTCAACCATCTATTGGAATATTAATTAGGGATTCTTGTGGAGCTTTCATTAAATAATCAAAGGATAAATATGTATCCAAGAAAACTTTAGAGTAACGAAATATTCACCATTCTAGGTTATATAAACCAAACACATCAATCCATGAACAAAAAGAGCCAATCTCTTTTCCCCACAAGAGGGAAAATTAGAATCACAAAATTCTTGGTATTTACATAAATCATAAAGTTACCTAGTTGATGGCATATGAACGGTCACATACTGACTCAAGAGCCTCAATGAATAAAGAAGAAAAACTTGTCAATGCCCGAAACACTCCAGGAAAACCTGTCTGTAGATTGTTAAGTGTCATGGCTCTAGTAACCTCAATAGCCTTTGAATGCTTCATGTTTTCATCTTCGACGCGACTTTGACAAGCTTCAAGTTCCAATTTTTTCTCAGCAAGAGGGTCTCTTGCATCCAAACCTTGTCCAATATGATCCACGAAGTTTGGAATTGTTCCAATACCAACCATAGAATATGAATTGTAAAACTTATTTTCTATGTTTCTTAAAGATGAAGATTTTTTCTCAAGCTCCTTGTAAGCCGTGTCAGTTTTCTTTTTAATCTTGAGCTCTTGAGATTGCTTTACAAATATAACATGGACAACATTGATGAAGCTTTTGATTGCTTCTGAAGCAACCGTGTCTGGAACACAGTCGAGGGCTAGTTTCCATTCATCACAAAAGGAAAATGCAACCGATGGTTCAATGGTTTTGATGTTGTTGTCATTTGTGACTGGAATAAGGTTCAGCTTAAACCATCCATGTATAGATAGAATAAAGTCTCTTTGAAATTTTATGATTCTGATAAAACTTGAGTGCCAAGCTGACAAAGCTATTTCGAGATCTCGAGTTGCCTGTTTGTGTGATTCAGATGTTGAGCGACCTTTTGAAGATCGGTTCACAAGGCCGCGAACTTGCTGTACAATTTTGCTTTGAGTTTCATGGTACTGGTGTATTGATCTCCACATGAAAATGATTCTATTTTTTTTACAAATCACAAACATAATAGAATAATTAATCATGAAGGAATCAAACTTCTTATAACATTGATGTGGTGCCTACTAAAGTCCATATAAAATCTTTTTCAACTGAGATACTAAGTCATCTTTGTCTTTGACTACGAATTCCACTAGTTGTTCCATGTAAACTTCTTCTAAACTGCCATGAAGAAATACAGCTTTCACATCTAGCTACTCCACATCTAGATTCAAACAATCTGCCAAACCAAGCACTACTCGAATCAATGATATTTTTACCACGGGTGAAAAAATCTCTTCAAAGTCAATGTCTTTCTTTTGACTGAAGTTTTTCACAACTAATCTTGTTTGTATCTAGGTCGTGAATTATTCTCCCTAGTCTTCAACTTTTACATCCATTTGTTTTTTAGCATTTACCTTTCGGTAAACCTACCAACTTATATGTCATGTTCTCATGCAAAATTGCATTTCTTCTTGCATGGCTTTCAACCATTCCTCTTTGAGGTTATCCATCATAGTTCTTCATAAGACTTTGGTTCTCCACCATCAGAGAGTAACACAAATTTTGTTGCACGATATTTGATTTGCGATTAAGGTATCCTTATCGACCTTCTTAATTGGGGCTCTTGTTCTTCATCCTCATTGTCTTCAACATGTCTCCATCATCACCATTACTTCTATTATCATTTGTTATTTCTTCAGTAGGATCATTATCAATTTGAGGTTTATTTTATACATCTCTAATATCTTCTATTTCATCTCTCCTATAATACTCTAGAGGAGGAATTAGATCAAAGTTGATTGGAGGTTCTCTAGAAATAACAAGCTTAACTCCCATAATAACTCCCATAATTTCTGGAGTGGTCATCAATAAAGGTAATAATCCTACACCTCCATAAATATGTGGTCATTGGGCCACAAACATTAAAATGCACTAAATCTAAAATATTTGGTCTTCTATTTGGGGGCTTATAATGAAATGAAGCTTTATGTTTCTTTCCAGCCAAACACTGTGGACATGGTTTAAGAGATATTTTCAATCCTTTCATAGCTGTCAAAATATCCCTCTTAGCTAGAATTTAAAGTCCTTTCTCACTCATGTCTGAGCCGTTGATGCCATAGCTCGACCGAGGAGTCTTCTTCTCCTAGAGCATTAACACATATTAATGACTTTGGCTTCTATCACATAAAAAGTGTTTACTTTTTATGCCTTGGACCATTACCAAGGAACTTTTTATTAGCTTCTTGTAGACTGCTTCTTCAAGTAGTCTTGTTGATATTAGACTCGGACGCATGTTATGAACATGTCTCACACCTTTTAATGCTAGGTGACAACCAATGTTTGTTTATAAGAAAACAACTTCTTTTCCTACAATCTTGAATATAGTATCACTCCTCAATCCTCACATGACCAAAATCACTACTTGTATAGAAAAAAATTTTCCTTTGTGATGTTACATGGAAGGATGCACCAGAGTCCACAACCCAACATGCATCTTGAGATGTCAAATTAACATGACCATAATCATAAACGAATATTACCTCATTGCCTAGAAAAATGGCAGCACCTATGTTACTTCCATCACCATTTTCCTACTGCTATATTTTGAGCTTCCTACATTCTCTCTTCATATAACCTTTCTCATGACAGTTATAATATTCTACGTCTATTTGTGTCCATGACTTTCCTCTTAATTTATCTTTAGACTTTTCCCTTGACTTGTCTCTAGTATTAAACTTCTTGTGGATGTTTCTTTCACGATACTCCTTATAAGCACCTCAGACTCAGACGACATTCTTTGTTCTTTCCTCCTTGATTATTCATTGAACATAATATCATTTACTATGTCCAATAGAACATTTTGTGGTGTTGAATTACTCAATAAAACCATACGTGTGTCTCAATTATTCAACAATGAACTCAAGTGTTGGTGAGTTGCACAAGTGTTACTAACAATGTTTGCCATTCATCTTGAAACATCATCTTCGTATTGGTGAATTAATTTATCAATCTTTGAAAATCGCTCAAATAATAAAAAAATTATTTTGGATTGTCTTTCTCTCGTACAAGATTTCTAGATTCGTCCATAATGTACACAACGGTTTCTTGCGCAACATGATGAAACTGACTTTGAACTACCAATTGTTGAATTTGTGAACTTAATCTCTTTATTTTTGCAAAGGTTCACACGTTTTAATAAATTAACTTAATTATTATTGTTGATGTGGTCGAAGTTGACTCGTCTATTATGAATAATAAAAGTTAAAATGTGTGATGGTTGAAATTCTAATACTACTTGTTAAAAAATATACCAATCAAAATATATTTAATACAAAACCAACAAGTAATTCATTATCTAGAATCATATTTTTCCCACACTACAATAATAATAATAATAACGGAACAACAAAATTATATTTTTTGTAAGTTAACGAGAATAAAATAAAAATAACAATCTTGTTGTTCCATTGTTAGAATTCAGTATGGGAAAAGTATAATAATGAGATATTAAGATTTAGTTCATTTATAATAAAATGTAAAACGCTCATATCCTATATTTGATCAACACACATCACATCTATTCGAAAGAGTTTAAAATTCTTATAAGTTATAATTTAAAGATAATTAAAAAAATACTCAAAAATTAGACAAGTGAAGAGGAAAAGAAGATGTGACACTACTAACTTAAGAAGAATTTTTTTAGTAATAATAAGGTATTGAAAAAAAAAACACAAATAATCATATTTTAGGAAAAATTACGCAAATAACCATGTTTCAGAAAACCCCACAATGGAGGAGCCAACTGAGTTGGCGCATACACCTAAAATTAAGGAGGAGGCGCCAAGTGAGATGACGCCTACGTGCAAAATGTTTGCCCTAAGCCATCTTAGATGGGGCCTATGTGCAATTGATGTGCAAATTTTTTTGCATTCTATTTTAAATGCGAGACAAAAAGTAAACGATATAGTTTCGTGAAACTTTAACTTTTTTATTAACAAAAAACGATTACATAATGAAAAAAACCATAAAAATTAATTAGTGGTCCCCCGTAACTCGGTAACGACCTGTGGTTCCGCATTCGCGTCCTCGTGGTGGGTTTCGTCGAATTTCCTGCTGCGGATGGGTCGATGGCCCAACGATGTCAATGCGTTCGGGATCCATGAAATCAGTCAGATCACCATATCTAGAAGATCCGCTTTGGTACAGTCGGTTACTCATGACCTCAAATTTTGGTTGTCTTGGTGTTTACAGTGATTTCTGGTAAACAACCGCTAGTCCTCCAAACTATCGAATAAACTTACTGACTGTTATTCAATTTCTCTGGTAACTCGCAGGATCAACTAGATTGATCCTAGGACGTGTTGGTCATTAGGGTAACTCTCATGATCAAACTGGTATTCATGGTTAGTATTTAGAATCTCGTGTAGGTGTTTAACTTATTTCGATTTCTCTCCTAAAGATCTAAAGGTATGATCAAATAAATGTGCGCGAAACTAAATTGCATGAATAAAGGTCAATTGTAAAGACATGTAAAAACTGCATAAAAGACAAGTAAATGACTTCGAAACGTAAAAAAACAGTTAATGTAAAAGATTCGAAATATGAAGAAAGCGTTTAATGCAAGAAAACTGTAAAATGGCTTTAAGTGAAAAAGGTGTTCGAAGGATAAAAACTTGAAGATAAAGGCATGAAATGTATAACAGTTTCTGAAATGTAAAGAAAGCATTTAAATGTAAGGCATCAGTGAAAAGATTTCGAATGAAAGTACTTTAAATGCAAAAACTTGTAAATGGTATTGACATAAAGATAAAGGAAAGTACTGGAAATGATAAAGGGTTTTCATTAAATCATAAACATGTGGTGTTATCATACGTACATTGCTCTTGCATTCGTTTCCCTAGCCATGTGGTAATTTGAATGTTTACTGAGTATTTTGTACAATAGATATGACACACGAAATCCTAATGCTAAGACTTCTATTTATACTACTTCGACCATAACGGTCTTGCTATAAGATTCTGCCACGTTCAGAACATGCAGAGCAATGCCTCTCTCTTGCTTCCACGCGTCTTCGAATGCTCCAGCGCATATATTTCAAATTTCGAACATCCCGCTTACATTTGAATTTCAAATGTTTTGGCACTTCTTCGCTTCGAACGCATTCCTTAGATACAGCCTTGTTATCATTTCGAGACTTCTTTGGATATATTCTCATAACTTGTCACTCGAAGCTCCAAGCTTTGATATGCTCATTCGAAGCATTGCTTCTACTATTTCGAAACATGACGTTTTGTTTCATTTCGATCGAAACGTCCAATTTACTTTGTTTCTAATAATATTATCAAAATCTTCAGCCAAGATTTTGATGCGACCTTCGAATCATCGTAACATTTATTGCATATGACTCCAGTCACGTCAATCATAACGCTTTTTAGATTCCTTAACCGCCTTGAACCATTTCACAGTATGGTGCAGTTACAAAACAATGATTATCTTTAATCACGCCTATTACCAATGTTAACTTTACGCCACCTCTTCATCAAACCAACCCATGATTACCACGTATCACAACCTTACTCAGTAGATACTTAAACTTCCACATTATAAAAAACCATCAACTTAGTCTTTTCTTTTCTTCCCACATTCTGAATCTTTTCTCCTTCTTTTCTCACTGAAAACCCTAAGCTTTCAACATTCTTCCAACAATGTCTTCTTCTACTTCATCCCAATTTAAAAAGGTTTCCAAAAAGAAAGGAAAGACCGCAGGAACTACAATGGAAAGCAAGGTTGTCACTCACCAAGGTCAATCTGTTCTTGTTCCCCAGATGATCTCAAAAGAGAAAGAAATGCTTTATGCATCCCAGGTACTTATTCCTACCACCGCTGCTGGCAAGAGGTTAGCTTTAATGGGCCATCTTACAGTTTTTGAAATTTTAAAAGACACCAGAAATTTTTTCCCAGTTTGCTATAATTTCAAACCCCTGTTTAA